TTGAAAAATACCAACAAATACGAACAAATTTCATGTTACACCTGATCTTACGATCTACATACAAAAATTTCCTTTTTTGGTTTGTATCACGGTGGGAAATAAGGGCACGCCTACTCCGATACTTTCGTATCGGGCAGCAGTCTTACTACTTACTACAGAATTAGATTTATATTGGATATCTTGATCGTCTTGATGTTAGCATACATGAAATAAAGCCATAATATGTCTTGTTAAAATTTTCTTTTCTCGTTTGCCTCCCCAGTATGTAAGATTCTGGATTTAGCATATCATATACCCTTTTCTGATGAACGACAAATATGGCATTAACTTTGAGACTGACTTCTGCGCTTTAATTAAAAGTGTTCCTCAGTAATTCTACTATATAAATTCTCCCAGTCTTTAAACACTACCTTTTGAATTTGTGGCACTACACTAATCGCTAATAATAATTACTATAGTCATGGACGACTTCGGTTTGTATTACACTACTGTACGTATAAAAAAAATATTTATAAATTTCCCGCCAGAATAAAGTATCAATACATATTTGTACAATTCGATTGTGAAATGCATAAGTTATTTAAAATCGAAAAAAAGACTGCACGTTTCCATCAACCAATTATGGATGATTTTGTTTTTGTGTACATAAATGCTGATAAAGCCCGGCGTGACAAATAGTGTAGATCAATTTTTTTAAAATATTATTTATATGTAGCATGTGATGTAAACAATTGCGTAAAACACATGATTTTTATTTTTCGCTTGGTGGAAAATCGCATCACACCGGATACTTTGGTCAGTGCACCACGGTCATTGTTTCCAAAATTGTTAAACGTCGACAAATCAGCTTGCTTTTTTATTAAACTTAGTTTTCTCTACTTTATTCCTGTATTCGAATACAGTAAATAAATTCAAAATGTCATCATTAGAAGAAATAGATCAAGGCGAAACTTTTAGACCTGGTGAACCATACACTCATCGTCTTAGCAAAATTCTTGAGGAATATCCAGATGGATCTCAAATTATTCGAGAAATTCTTCAAAATTCTGACGATGCAAAAAGTAGTTCACAGGTCTTTATACTTGACCGTAACTCTTATCAATCTAACCGTTTATTTGAACCTGTGAAAAAAAGTAATAAAACAAAATTGAAGTTGGATCGTTATCAAGGTCCCGCACTTTTAGCAAGAAATGATACAGTTTTTGAAGACCGTGATTTTGAATCTTTAAAGAAATTAGCAAATAGTGAAAAATATGATCAATTTGATAAGATTGGTGGTAATGTACAATTATGACGCATTAGTTTTTTTTTCTTTTATAATGCAATAATTCTTTACTAATTTTATATTGATGTATCCACAAAATTTAGTTATGGGCGTAGGATTTAATAGTGTTTATCATATTTGCGATACTGGTAAATTAATAGATAATATTACATTAAAGTTTTTCTTAAACGTAAACTCATCCTTTTCTTTTTATTTCATAGTCCAACTTATTACTGGTGATAATATTCTCATTCTTGATCCACACGAGAATTATTTTAAAGGTGGTATAAAATTTGACTTTGTCAAAAATAAATTGGCCACACGCTATCCGGATCAATTTGCTCCTTTTTGTGTTCCGTGCGACCAAAGCTTTGAAGGTTCTTTATTCCGCTATCCTCTTCGCACTGATCAAGATGCATTAGAATCAGAAATTTCCAATAAAGTTTATAGTCCAGATCAAATCTTGGAAATTTTTAAAACTTTTTATGAGAAAGAAAGCATTAATTGCCTTTTATTTTTAAAATATATTGAAAGTATTAAATTTTATGAACTTGGTAAAAATGAAACTGAACCAAAATTACTTTACTCAATCGAAATCACAAATTCAGAGCAAATTCGTGCAGAACGAAGAAGAATTGCTGAATGCATTGGACCTATGGTGGATTCTCTTACTAAGAGAATAGGACCAAAGATTACTACTTTGGAATCTGTGTATATTGCAAATTTCCGCCGAAAATGTGGTGACGATGATCCTCATATGGATCAATGGATTATCTTTACTTGTCTTGGTGATTTGAATACTGCGGAAAATTATTTTCAATCTAATTTTAAGAAATCTATTAGTACATATAAATTTATTCCAAATGTTGGTATCGCATTACCACTTAAAGATAGAAAGGCCACTGGAAGATTATTTTGCTTCCTTCCTCTTCCTATTGCGACTCCATTTCGCGGCTCTGTGCATGGATATTTTGCGGTATATATCACAATATTTATAATCATCATTCATGTTAATAAAAATTTAATTAATAATTTATGCACTTGAAGGTTAGCACAAATAGACGCACTCTCTGGACTGCAGCTGATAGTGAGGATTTGGTAAGTCTTGGCTTTGAATTATTATAGCAAATAAAAAATAATTAAAATTATTGTGTTATTATTCTAATATTTACTTTATTGTAGGCTTATCATTCGTTGGCTAGACTTAAAGTTTCATGGAATGAATATCTTTTTAATGACGTTCTCCCAAAGGCTTGGGCTAGATTTTTGACTAAACTCCCTATCGAGGCACCAAAAATTAATGGATCAGAGTTTTATGATTTTTGGCCTATTATTCAAAAATCTGCATCCAGAAGTTTCGCTAATTTATGTGAAGACTTGTTGTTTAATACGGTTGAAAATCTCAACGTTGATGATAAAGTCTTTTGTGGACCATCTGCGTCATATGCGCTCGGCGATATTACTAAAATACTAAAAATATCTCAAAAGCATATTGCATCATATGAAACGGAATTTCATTTATTATCAATTAATTATGGATTTTTTCCTGACAAACGTGCAAATGAAAAGATTTCAAATATTGTTGGAAGTATAGGGTTTCCTGTAATAAATATCAACTTAAAAGTATTGGATGAACTAAAAAGATCAAAACACAAAGATTCCTTGAAATTTTATTCACCCCAAATTATTAGAACTTATTTACACCAAAATAAAGCGAGGTGGCAAGAACATTTATCAAGAGAAGAAAAATTAATCTTGTTTTCATATATACTTGAAGATAAAAATTATGTTGAGTTAGATGGTCTGTCGATGATTCCGTTAGCTGATAAAAGTTTAGGAACCATCTCACGGAAAACAAATTATTTCGTATATATTGGTCCAGAAAATAACCAACAAGTTGATGCTAATGATGAACGAAAAATATTCAAGAATAGCTTGAATAAATTTATTGATAAAGATATTTCTTGTAAACTTTGGAACCAAATCTATGAAGGTGCAAAGAATGGATGGGACCTTAATATTAAGATTTTGACGGCCACGGCAGTTGCTGATCTGATTACTAAATCTTTGGTTGGTTATTCAAATGCCAGTGATGAGATTCAATTAAAAAATTCTCATGAATGGATTAATCAAATATGGTCCAATTTTCACGAAAGGAAATACGAACTAAATAATTTTGAAAACATTCATCTTTTGCCAACAAATAGAGGAACGCTTCGTAAACTAAAAACGGTTCAGAAAAGCTTTTGGAATAGTATTGATGATAAACCTGATAATAAAATTCAACCACTTATCGAGAAGTTTGGTATAGTATTTGTTGATAAAGAATTTGAGAAGCATGATGTATCGAAGTGGAACAAGTAAATATTTTTAACTCTTATAATCTTAAATCTTGAATTTATTTAATAATATATTCTTTCATATTCTTTTTAGATTATCGCGATACGTAATTAAACTTGATAATATTTCCGAAGTCTTGGAATGTATATGTGTAATTACTGGATTTCCAAAAAATGTCCAGAAGAGGTTGGATTCTCAAGAAGCAAGCGAATTGATAGATTATTTATGTCGCTATTATAGGTCCTCTTTTAATACCAATAATTACGATCCTATTGACATAATTAAACATCTTCCAATATTCATGGAAGTTGACAGGGACGAATTAATTGCTCTTAAATCTGGGGATAGGAAGTGGTATTTGCTTCCAGCAGAAGATGAAAAAAGTTATGGGCATATTATTGCACCTGATGTGAATGGTTTTCTTAACACAGATATACCAAAATCAAAGTATCTATTGGAAAATATTATCAAAATTCCACGATTGTCACGACAAGTATATTGGTGTGATTTCGTTATCCCGTATTTAGAATCCCAACCTTCAAATGTTCTAAAAATTGTAATTACAAAACTCTTTGAACGGTTATTGCAATTACTTTCTGGAGATTCAAATCTGAAAAATACATTGGAGAAAACAGCATTTGTTCCATCAGTGTCAATACAATCTCAGTCAAATGATACTGTAGAATTTGAATTAAAAAGACCGATCGAATTATATGACCCAGATAATTGGAAAATTTCAGAATTGTTTTTTGAAGATGAAATAGTGTTTCCTTTTAAAATACCTGATTATAAACATTTAATTTTGCCATCATTAAGATCACTAGGTATGAAGCAATTTCTTTCATCAGATGATATTATTCAACGATTAAATATTATGAGTGAACGCAAAGAACTTGTCGATATGAGAGAAATAGTGCACAAGATATCAATGAAGCTAGTTCAATATATCGATGATTATTTTGACAAACTTATTGGAAAACATCAATCTCGATCTAATAATGCACCACCAAATAATAGCAAACTTCAACAATTGTATACACTTTTGATAAATACTGAATGGCTCCCCACAGTAGATTTTACAGGAAAGAACCTATTCTCGAAACCAAATGATTGTCGAGATAAAGGTTATAAGAATACAGTAGGTTTAATAATACCAATTTTAGAATATCGTATTAAAAATAAATCATTTTCTACCCTTCTATGGAATTCGTATCCACCAGTGGACATTGTACTCAAACAGCTCAAAGCATGTAGTTCCATTTCACGCAATCAATTATATCATCATCATCAGAACCCTGACAAAATATGTGATTCGATTTATAAATATATGATGGAAGCATTATCAGCCAGAAATAAAGACCAGCAATCACGAATGGAAATAGAAAAATTTAAGCAAGAACTTTTATCGACTGATGAAAATTGGATTTTTTGCAATGATAAATATTATCCATCAAGTAGGGTGGTATTTGAATTAGATGATAGCTTAATAAGTAATAATTCAGTAATTATACAACTTCCACAAAAATATAATCAATACAACGAACTATTTATTGAAATGGGTGTTAGACAAAAAATAGGAATCCCAGATCTCATTAACATTATTAAAGAATTTCGTAATTCTACAGACTTGGTGGGGAGAATTCTGACACAAGATGAAATTAATAAAATTATTGGACTTATTGAACAAATAGCAAAGAAAAGAATCGATACAGAAAACAATGATGATAATATTTTAAATGAGTTATTAATTCCGAATACTGAATGTCAACTAGTTAATTTTTATGAAATTCAGTATGATGACATGGGGAATAGATTGAATGATGAAAAAAAGAAAGAGTTTAGCATTGCACATCCACAAATATCACCTGCGACTGCAAGAATGCTTGGAATGCAAATGCTTACTGGAAAGTTAATAGATGAAGGTAATCATGTATAATGTCTAATGTTAAAGTATTGTAATTTGATACTTAAAGAAATATAATCACTTAGGAGACGATTTTGATGATTATGGTATGGACTATGAACAGGAAGAACCATTGGCTATTAGGATTCGTAATATTCTTAATGTATGCGAAAGATTCATATTTTATGCATTTCTATTCATAACTTTACACTTTATGCTAATTTTTGCGTTATAAATTTTAGGATTACCCTGTTAATGTCTTATTCAAAGAGTATTTGCAAGTATGTATCGTTATTGAGTTTAAACACTATAGGATTTTTTGTGTATTTTTTTGCAGATTCGTTTGTATACTGACGGGATAATTTTGGAATAATTAGAATGCAGATGATGCAGGAGCTCGAAAGCTTTGCTTAGTTATTGATGAAAATGGCTTTGGAATTCCAAAAAAATCTCTTGATCAACACTCATTGTTATCAGAAGAAATGAATAATTGGCAGGGACCTGCTTTATGGATATTCAATGACGCAATATTTTCAGATAAAGATTTTGAATCATTACTAAAACTTGGTGTAGGTGGGAAATCAAAAGACTACAAAAAAATAGGAAGGTTTGGTATTGGAATAAATGTCTCTTTTCATTTGACAGATCTAGTTAGTTTTGTTAGCGGTGAATATATAGCATTTCTGGATCCATCAGAAAAATTTTTACCAAAAACTGGAAACCCACCTCGACATGCACGTGGAAAACGTATAAATTTTCTTAAAAACGATTTTAAAAACAGATTCAAGAACCAGACCGAACCATTTATATCTCTCGCTCGCAACTTGTCAAATGAAAGTGCGTCGATTTTTAAAGAGTTTAAAGAATTTGATTTTACGAAAAAGTTTAATGGAACTTTATTTCGGATACCTTTGCGAAATAGTAAAACAGCGCAAAACGGCGAAATTTCACAGAATTGTTTTGAACCTAGAGATATTTTACAAATTTTTGGGGAAATTAAAGGAAACCAAGAAATGTTATTTTTGAGAAACATTGAATATTGTAGCTTACAGTTCTTAAAAGGCAGATCCAGACAAATGATTTGGGAAGCTAAAATTGAAAACATGGATCCTGCCTTACGTAATAATCGCTTATCATCATCATCCCATGAACAGCAAATATTTCAACTTGAAATGGAAATGAATAACAGAGATAGGAAAAGTTCAGAAATATGGTTAGTTTGTACTGGTGGAAAAGATAAAACTAGTAGAGGAGAATTGGAAACTTTTTCGATATATAATAATATCCGAGTGAGGATCACAAGTTATATATATTTTTTTTATTGCTAGAAATTAAAGTATGACAACTGAAATTATATTTATTATGTATTTTTAGGCAAGAGGTGGAATTGCTTCATTGTTGGCACAATCTGTTAATAAACCATTAGCATCGCTAAAGAAGGATAAGGTATATTTTCAGTAATATTTTAGTATATTACTATTACATCAAATTATCAAATTAATATAACCTTTCATCTCAGTTTCCAAATCCCCCGACGCTTGCAGGGGCATTATACTCATTCCTATCGCTTCCAATAACCACCTCTCTTAATGTTCATATTAATGGAACATTTTATATTTCAAGTGATAGAAGAAATATGTTGCAGTCAGAAAATAACTCCATCCTAAATGAAAAGTCAAAGTCAAATTCTTTGGGTGATAATTGGAACAAACACATTTTATTTGAAATACTGCCACAATTGCATGCTACACTTTTAGAACGAATTGCTGAATTAGATTATCAAAGATTTTTAATGCTTCAACCAGATCAAGTGTCACAGTATTATCCAATAACAACTACGAGACTTTGGCCAATTGTAGGTGGACTTTCAGGAATGTATAAAAACTATGCAGAAAAAGTCTTAATGAAATTGTATAACGGCAACTTCAAAGTTTGTTGGACTCATGCAAATAGAGGAAAATTTATTTCATTTAAAGAAGCATACTTGGCTGATCGTAAAACAGCAGATATTAATGAAATTTTAGCGTCTCAAAATATACAAATTATAAAATTAACTGAAGAACAAATAAGTCATTTTAAGGTTCTAGTAAGAACGGTCAAGAATCAGACTGTACAACCTTTAAAAACAATTAATCCACAATTGGTTTCTCACATTTTTCGGAGTAATCCAAATATAGATAACGTATCTCATGAAAGCATATTTAGATTGCTAAAATTTATCATTCAAGATAAGGATTTGTCTCGAGAAAGTCTCATTGGATTAAGGCTGTTACCACTTAGTGATGGGACTGTTGGAATATTTGGTGATCAGGAACGTTATATTGCAGAATCAAAACTGCAAAGACTATTTCCTGATGCAGCGAAATTATCGAAATTTATAGCAGAATATCCTAAAGAACTTAAAGGTCTTTTCAATGATAAAAAATTCTGTAATTCGGCTAAAATTAAACAAATAGATGCATCTTCAATAATCATTTTATTAGAATATGAGTTACAACGTGATAAAGAATTAGATTGGGACCCGAATGGTAAAACTTATCCAAATAAAGAATGGATCAAGCTATTATTAAATTATTTTGTACCTCTAAATGCGGATTATGAATTTTCGAAATTAGCAAGACTTCCATTATTGCCAATAATTAAACCGCAAGAAAAACTTGTATTATTTGATTATCAAAATCCAGTATTAGCCTATGATGCCTCAAATCAGATGACTTCAATACTTGTTAAATTTGGGGTTAGATTTACAAATCATGAATTTCCAGAAGAATGTAATCAAAATTTAAAACAATGCATATTGAAATCAAATTTTATTAATATGATGAAATGCCTTGAGAGAGCTATTATACTGTCCAAAAAATCAGTGGAACAACTATTTAGCGAAACTCTAAAGCCATTTGAAATTAACAAATTTAGAAACTTCGTTACAAAAGCATTCAATAGTAGTTCGAGTAATTCAAGTAATTAATATTTTTATTTATTTATATAATATATGTTACATCCCACAACTAAATAATAATAATAATTATTTTTATATTATGCATTTAATAGAAAATAAGAAAATTGCTATCACATCATTTCTTAAGACATTACCAATTTGGCCAACTGAGTCGTTGGATATGAATTCTTTTATATCTGCAAATTCTGGATTATTAATTCCACAAGATCTTCCGCTTTTTTCATCAGAAGAGAATTCCAAAATTTTTAGTGCAGAATCGGAAGATGATTATTTTACATTATATGCGCTTGAAGTTAAAATATTAGATCCATTAGAATATGTCAGGAATAATATTATCCCTTACTTGTTAGCCCTAGGACCTACTAATGAATGTTTAAATTTATTAAAATCTATCATTTCATTAAAAAATAGAGAAATTGAAAACTGTTTGGCACTGTATCCTATAATTCCAAATAATTCATTAACAAGACTTGCTAAAGCGAATGAACTATATGATAGTAGCAATTACTTATTTTATTCAACATTTGAATCTGACAAATTTTTACATCAGGACTTATGTTTAAATTCAGAATGTTTTGAGGTGATAAAAAAAATGGGATTAAATTACCAAGTTAATTCCCAAAATTTCTTGGACTGTGCTTATGAAATTCAATCAAAAATAGATGATAATACTATCAACAATAATGACACATCGTTACATGCTATTAGATATTTGTATCAAAATTATACAAGAATGAAGCTCACCAAAAATCAATTGCAAGAGTTGATAATTATAAGGTTTATACCTGTTGACTTGGATTTTCCATACCCATATGCAGAACATGCAAAGGAAACTTCAGGATTCGAATCATTTATTTCATTACGTTGCCAAACTTATAAAAACCTTTGTTGGACTCAATGTCCATTATTTAATAAATCTATCGATCCACCTGCATCATTTTTAAAAGCAATAAACCAAACTGGCCAACCGACAATTGATGAAATTGTAATAAATTTAATAATTATTGCTTCAAGAATATCTAAATCATCAGGTGATTCTTCTTGGAATTCGCCAAATGGAGTTAAAATATTTTTAGAAATATTAAGCGAAAATTATTCTACGTTAAATCAATTAGTAGAAAGTTCAAATGATGCCAAAATTTTCATAGAAAGTAATTTACCGAAAGACGCCAAGTTATTCTTAAATAATGATGTTGATCCTTTTAATTCCAATAATTGGGTAGCAGGACAAGATATAGTTTTCGGAGTGGAGGATGATGTTATTGTAGAACTGCATAAAGTCCATCAGTTTTTAAAAGATTACAAAACATTGTTAAAAGTCTTGGGTGCTAAAGAATTGGAAAAAATTAATTATAAAGTTAAAGTTAGAAAACATTCACAGAAAGATGAATTGTTTAAAAAGTTGTTGGAAAACTTTAGGCAGCAAGAAGAAATTAAACACGACGTTTTGTTTGAAGTTGGAGAAAATAATACTTGTATTGAAAAGATCTACGCCAACAGTTATGTTCTTTCAGGTATTTGTATTTTCTAATTGTTTGTATTTTATTACTTGGTGTATATGAAATTTATATATATTGTTCTTCAAATATCTGTTATAGCTGCATCTCCGCAAATTGAAATGCTTCTAAATAATAGGTTTAATGACAAATTTTCAGGATCTCAAAGAGTAAAAATTGTCAAAATTGAGGGAACTAAACCTCAAACATTCAGAATATATGGAATCCAACCTTCTGCTTTCCGTATATTAATCCGTTGGTTATATGGACAATCATTTAAGGAAGCATTTTCTGAAGTTCTTAATAATTTCCCACAAGCTTTAGTACTTTTAATAAGCTTAATTAAACTTTCTGATAGATTTGAACTAGATCCTTTAAAAGATCATGTGGAAGAAGCTATAATTAAAGGGCCTTATATTAATATTAATAATGTTGATAGTATTAAAAAAGAGGCTCAGATTAATCGAGCTACCCAACTACAGAGCCATTGTGAAGAATATAGAAAGAAAAATGAAAAGCTTTTCGGAAATTAAATTATGCATAGTGAAAATTTGCGGTATAATGAACTATGGGTATCAAAGAATGAGATAATAAATTGTTATAAGAGAAATTTCTCCCAGTATTTAGCGTATAGATATTAAATTTTTTTTTTTTTTTTTGTGTGTAAAAATTAGTATCTTTATTAAGATATAAGATAGCTTGATACATCTCTATTTAATCTTACTGCCAAATCTAAAAATAATTACGAGATTAATAAAGATTTTAAAAGCGAATTAGGCAAGAGAAGGCCTTTAGATACTAATTTTAATATTTATAAATTTATATAACTTGTGATCATTAAACCATATTTTTTTATTATTATAATTATATATTAAATCTTAAAATTAAAATGAAATGCTCTTTTAATTATAAAAAATACCACATTAATAACTTTAATAGATTGGGAATCATACTTTAATCGGTGAAAATGTATAGGACACCTGTGACGGATTATAAGAGAGAATGTAAAAAAAAAATTATGTTACAGAAATTGCTCACTATTCTGGTACTGTAAATGTGCGTATACAAGATCCCCCTTATATCAGACCCACCCTCATTTTTTACTAATTGTTTTCTTTTTTTTACAAATTAATTTTTTTGGTGAATGTAAGTGACCCGGGTCTTGTATACGCACATTTACAGTAACTACAATATATGTGTGTGAGTTAGTCTGTATTGGAATTACCATTACAGTACATGTTCCGTAAAGTGCCAACCAATGTATCCGGATTTTACAATAACTAGAGATATACCCGCTAATGATTAGTGCCGTAATTCAAAATGCAATTTGTCTTAATGTAATAATTATTTATTACAAAAGTAGTAATTGTAATAATAATTATTACTACGTGTCGTAATTATTATTGCGTGTTGTAATAATTACTACATGTAATTATAACTACATGTCGTAATTATTGCTACTTGTTATTATTAAAATTAGCATTAGAAATTATAGCAGATTAGTATAGTATAATAATTAGTAAAGTACTAAAGTATGAAGATGTGAAATATTAAAGTAGCAAATTGAACCAATGTTATATACCACTGTATAAGGATAGCATTAGATTTATAGCAAATTAGTATAATATAGTTTTTAAAGTAGGTACCATACAATTATAATAAGTGTTTGAATTTCAGATCTAAATACTGTTCTTATAAAAAGTGTAATAGTTGAGGTGTTCTCAAAGTATAGTACAAATAACCAAAATCAGTTTGTTCTTAGAGCTCTCATGAAAACAATATTTTTAAAATATGTGCACAGTATAAAATTTTTTTAGAACCGTAAAACAATGTCAATATTCTCATAAGTATATAATAAGTAGCTACCAGAAACTGATGAATACAACTATCATAATTGTTGTATTAATCAAAAATAAATTAAGATTTATTTAATCTTAGTAATTATAATAGTTTTTCATATTCTTGGTTATTTATAGTTGCCAACAATTTTTAAAAAAAAGCTAAAATTAATGTTACGTTGTAATTTGCTAAATACTTACCGTATAGTTCCGAAATTAAGCACCCCTTTTTTGTTATAGGGGGTGCTTAATTTCGGATGATTTTTTTTTATCGT